ATTAGCCTCAATGCGAATTCCTAATTAAAAATATGTATGTTCAAATATTAAATCTAAAATATGGCACTATGGTCCATTAAAAACAAGAAACAATAAACATATCCATTTGCAAATGGCATGAGTTTTGACTTCTATGCCTTTCTGACTACGCAGAAATGTCATGTTCTTTATTATTAGAGTCAGTCTTTCTGGAAACAATGGTAACTACCAACCACAATCACGGAACTTGGGAAAGCAAAACAGCAGCTCTTTCATAAATTGGGTCTTAACACATTAGCATATCAGAACTCAGAAAATGACTTGTCCATGAAAAGATCAGTTTCATTTTTGTAGAGCTGAGGATCCTATAGTTGCAAACCTTGCAAAAATTTTCTTTTTTTTTTTTTATTAATTACATTGCACTATGTGGCACAGTTCCATAGGCACTGGGATTCCCCACATCCCTTCCCAAGCCCTCCCCCCATGGTGGATTCCTCCTCATTGCTGCATTGCCACCGTTCAAGTTCAGTTGAGATTCTTTCATTGCAAGCATATACCAAGCACAGAGACCAGTAACTTATTGTCCAGATAAGTTCAATGTCTTCTTGGGGAGACCATCTCTGGTCTGAAGGTAGAGCCGACAGAGTATCAATCAATTAGTTAATGGATATCAGAACCCAGGCTGGAATCAGCGGCCAGTTAATTGGTTCAGAGCTGTTTGTCCTCATCCCTTCTATCCTTCTCTGAATTCAACAAAGTTGTGTGTTTTTAGGAGACCCATGGATTTGAAGCTATGAAAGAACAAAAATATATTAAAACCAGTAGAGACACTTGACATCAATATTCAATCACCTCTCTCACTACATATATATATATTATATACATTATTATGCCCTAAAGATTGCAGTGTTAACAATTATCTACACAGCACTAACCTTATCTTATGTAATATTCATCATCTGGAGATGGCTGAATGTGGAAACATATACAGGTTGTATTCAAGTACTGCACCTTTTTATATAAAGGAATTGAGTATCCTTGGATTTTGGTATCCAAGGTGTGTGTGTGTGTGTGTGTAGGTGGGGGATGTGACCTTAGCACCAATCCTTTCTTGATATTGAGGGATGACTTAGATATTTTTAAAGAGCTTTTGAAGAAATCTCCTCTGGCTGTCTTCAGAACCAGCACAGGAACATAACCAAAGTGAAATAGTTTCAGTAATGAAAATTTTAACAGCCCAAATTTAACTGGCTAGAGAAAATCCAAGTGCCAATCTCCCTACAAGTGGCAAATAAATTCAGGCTTCTTGACACAAGTAAATGCTATGTTGTCGTGAAAATATTAAACTAATGGCTATATCTAACAGTATGAGTAAACAGGAAAAAATAAGACAAAAGAACACAGATAGCATATTCCTATTTGAACAGAGTTTGGACAGAAACAACAGTAAATCATATTAAGGATGCATACCCAGGTAACAAAATTGTAAAGATAAGCGAGGAAACCAGTATCCCAAAATTCAGCAGAAACAGGGTGGTTAGATGCAAGACCAAGCAGGGATGGGAGATCCTGTGTGTCTGATGAGGAGGGCAATCAGAGAACCCAGGTCATGTTGACCTGGGTTATTGTGGAGTGTTTTTTCATTAACTGATGTGCTTCTTCATTGCATGGTTTATACACATGGAGGAAACCCTAAGTATCTTCAGCAGCAGCTGTCCAGCAGAAACTAACACCCAGTGCCCATCTGCATGTTTTACCTCACACTGACATTCACCACCTCAGCTAAGTCAGAAACAACTTGCATTTTACCTGTAAGTAATTTTACCATTAACTTCTTTTGGGGAGATATTTTTATGTGAATTTTTTAAAATACTAAGCAGATTTATAAGTTTAAAGAGTATTTTGTTCTGAGGATGTATAGGGAGTGTTATAAACTTTGAATGAGACCTAAAGTTCGTATTTTTTTAAGGACACACTTGCTAAATTACTTTATCCTTGAAGATATCAAGCAGGTTGACCATATTTTCTTGTTAATTTAAAGATACAGATCTTTTATATAGAGCTTTTCATCATAGGGCTGTTAAAAATGATCTTCATCCATATTTGTTCTTTTAAATGCAAAATAAATTTAAGAAAATTCTGATATGCATTATCTTACATCTGAAAAAAATAGCTAAGACATTTGCAAAAAAAAAAAAAGGAAAAAAATGCCTAAGATTCCTTTTTATCACTTCAATCAAGGCAAGCTAAACTAAAAAGTCAAAAAGATTAGTTTATTGATTTCCCTGGGCTACATAAAAATAAATGTGGGCTTGTATTCTTCTTACCATGAAACAAAATATTGAACTCTGCCCTTCAGGCCTAAGACCATACTTCAAATGCTGATCTTATCATAGCTGGCAAGTCAAACAGAACCGGACTTTAAAGGAAGGAAGGAAAGCCCTGGAGCCACTGAGAAGCACCAGGGCTTGTGTTGTGGGCCTGGCCTTGGTCAAAACTCACCCAGGGTCACAGGGCTTCAGGAAAGGCCACTTGCCTTCCAGCACACATTTTTCAGGAAAGCACGTAACCAAAATTTGAAACATGAAAAGAAGCATGTAGATAAATGAGCATTCTCCAACGAATGGTCTGAAATTAGTTTTCTATTCCACTTGGTTTCTTCCTGTTCATGGACAGGACATGGTTAGATTTTGCCTGGCGTCTAAAAAGTTTTGAATTGGGAATGCAGTAATAAAGTCATGACAAACTGTAAAATAATAGTTCTCAAGACAGAAAATGATGAAGAACTGAATGGGAAATTTTCTCACGTTTCTGTTCAAGTCCTGGAGGTTCATCCAATAATAAATGGAGAGATGCGTCCAGCACAGCCCCCAATCGGGGCAGAGGACGTGGAATCAGCTCAATTAACACTTCATGAACTAAGCGCTGTCGGCAGAGTTGCTTGGTCTAGTCGGTCCTTGAATCTCTTGTTTCCAGTGGAAGATGGTAGAAAGTTGCCTGGTGGACTCCCAGAAACAGTCTCTGCCCGGTGGACTTCCTGTTGCAGAATTCCAATTGCACCTACGGAATTTGTACTGTGGCGTGAAAAACGGATCTATAAATATCAGGCAAGAATGAGCATCCTAGGCCAGAGGAGCTCAGTCTAAAAGCACACCGGGTTAAAAGGATAGGCACTTCCATGTGGAGACAAAGTGCTGCATGTCTCTATGCATAGACGAACTCCCAGCGAAAGAACTGATTGCATCCTAACTGTAAGATGGACTCTCCGACACTGTTCATGCCCACATTGTCGGGGAACACTTCAATAACAGCGTGATGGACTTGTGACTGTTTGTGAAGGGCACCCACTGCAAAACTAGAGGGGAAATCAATGGGGGGGGGGGGGTGGAGAGGGGCACAGGTAACCCCAAAGTCTATGGAACTGTAGCATAAAACAAAATAAAATCTTTTAAATGTGAATAAAAAAGGCATTTCTTACTGAGAAGTCCACAGATGCACCTTCTACCCTCAACTTAGATGTCCATGGGATAGGGCATTAGCAGGTTTCCTACATTCTTTTCCAAACTGAAAAAATATATACATATCTTTAATCAAGAAAATAGCGACTAGGATGATTCCAGTTCAGTGTTCCTGAAAATCAAAGAACATTATCTAAAATAAAACTTGTTGGCTCCAATAAGCAAGACTGTTCAAGACACCAGCCCGACTTGGTTGGTTTATAACTAGAAGGGGGTTTGCGGAATGTGGAGGGGAGGGAATCCACACACCATTAAAACCCTGCAAACACCAGGGGGCGGGAAGAGCTCAAACTCCGACCTAAGTCCGCTGACCGAAACGGGACCTGAACTCTTTTTTCCTTCGCCTTGGGGGATATTTATCAGCTCTCCCGGCACGCAGAGAAATGTGACGCTGACAAGTGGGTTTAGTTCGTACTTTGTATAATTACTGTGAAGAGAACAGTAACGTTCCTCCTGACAGCTCCAGGACCGACAGCGGATCCGGGAGAGCCTGGGGCTACACTAGGCGGTTCAAGACTCGCGATTCCTATCCGACGACATTTCTCCTGCATTCCGAATGTGCTCCGTCCCTGGCTTTTTTTTTTTTTTTTTTTTTTTTTTTTTTTTTTTTTTTTTTTTTACTGTGTACTTTGATTGCAAAGGGGAAGCTTCTTTAAAACGCACCAATCCTAGGACTACGTCCATTGTAAATGACGAGATGGCTGTGTGGGGTCGGGGAGTGACACCTGCTCTAGCTTTAGCTGTGCGTTGCAGCTGTCCTGCTTTTCCTAAACATGTTCCCCTCCCCTCGCCCAAGTTTATGTTCAAACATCTCTGGATTCCAATTCAGACTCCAGGAACTTTGTAACTTTCTTATTTGTAGCTAACTTGCCTCTCCAGTTTGCAAGTGAGAAAAGACTGGCCTGCGCGTATTGTCATTGAATGGGGCCGGCGGTGGGTGGGTGGGTGGGTGGCAACGTAGTTGATCGCCGCTGCTCCGGAGCCCCACATCCCGCAGCGCGGAGTCCAGCGCTTGCGAGCGTGGACAGCCCAGGCCGCCGTGCGCAGCACTTGGAGACAACCTGCTGCACTTCGCGTCTCCTCCCCTCTCGGCGGTTTCCCCGCCTTGGCCCCTCCGACCTGATTGGCAGAAATCACTATCCAACCCCTTGAGCCCGGACCTCCTCCCGGGACCAACGATTGGCTTCCTGGGAAGCCTGGAGGATAGGGGGGTACGAGGGGAGGGATTTCCCTCAAAGCCCGGGGTCCCGGGACCTGGGAGGGAGGAGTGGAGGGGCTCAGTTCCCCGGGCCGCTAATCCGAGAGCGGCGGAGCAGGACCGACCAGGAGGGCTTCGGTCCGCGGCTGTGGTTCCCATCCTTGCGGCCCAACCCCGGCTCCTGGTGCACCTCGCAGGCAGCGCGCGGAGTTCCTGGCACTTTTCCGGAGGTGCCCTGTGAACCCCTGCTGGAGACAGATTTGCACGCTTTCAGGCTGCTCTGCCCGAACCCTAACACCTGGACCATGCAAGCCGCTGGAACCCCAGGAATCTGGTACGGGGCAAGCCGGACACCCAGTTGTGCCAGCTTTCAGCCGAGACCCTCGTCGACGCCCCGACTGCGACGGCTGCTACTGCTTCTCCTGTCACTGGTAAGCGGCGTCCTGGCACAGCCCGCTGACCCTGGCCGGGCGTTCCTGTCCCGGGGTCTTTCAGGGGCTGCAGGGGTTCCTGCCGAGGAGGCCATAGTACTGCAGAACCGCGAACTCCGCGTGCCTTTCGGTCGTGAAGTCTGGCTGGATCCGCTGCAGGACCTGGTGTTGCAGGTGCAGCCGGGAGACCGCTGCTCGGTGACTGTGCTGGACAACGACGCGCTGGCCCAGCGGCCGGGCCGCCTGAATCCTAAGCGCTTCCCTTGCGACTTCGGCCCCCGCGAGGTGCGCTACTCACACCTAGGTGCGCGCAGCCCTTCTCGGGATCGCGTCAGGCTGCAGCTACGCTACGACGCGCCGGGAGGGACGCTCGTGCTGCCGCTAGTGCTGCAGGTGGAAGTGGTCTTCAGCCAGCTGGAGGTTGTGACTCGGAATTTGCCCTTGGTCGTGGAAGAATTGCTGGGGACCAGCAATGCCCTGGACGCACGGAGCCTGGAGTTTGCCTACGAGCCCGAGACAGAGGAGTGCCGCGTGGGCATCCTCTCCGGCCTGAGTGCGCTACCTCGCTATGGAGAACTCCTGCACTTTCCGCAGGTCCCCCGAGAAGCCACAGGGGGAGGCGCTCCGGAGCCGCTCCTGATGGACTGCAGACTTTTCCTGGAGCTTGGCGTGCGCTACCGCCACACAGCCCCGAGTCGCTCACCCAACAGAGACTGGGTACCCATGGTCGTGGAGCTACGTTCGCGAGGGGCTCCTGTGGGCAGCCCTGCTTTGAAACGCGAGCATTTCCAGGTACTGGTGAGGATTCGAGGAGGGGCTGAGAACAGCGCCCCCAAGCCCAGTTTCGTGGCCATGATGATGATGGAGGTGGATCAATTCGTGCTTACCGCCCTAACCCCAGACATGCTGGCAGCTGAGGATGCGGAGTCTGCACCTGACCTGCTCATCTTCAACCTCACCTCTCCGTTTCAGCCCGGCCAGGGCTACTTGGTGAGCACTGATGACCGGAGCCTGCCGCTCTCCTCCTTCACGCAGAGGGACTTGCGCCTCTTGAAGATTGCCTACCAGCCCCCTCATGAGGACTCAGACCAGGAACGTCTCTTTGAGCTGGAACTGGAGGTAGTGGACCCAGAAGGAGCAGCCTCAGACCCGTTCGCCTTCATGGTGGTGGTGAAGCCCATGAACACGCTGGCTCCAGTGGTCACCCGGAACACTGGTCTTATTCTCTATGAAGGTCAGTCTCGGCCCCTCACGGGCCCTGCAGACAGCGGGTCACAAAACTTGGTCCTCAGTGATGAGGATGACCTGGAAGCAGTGCAGCTGGAGGTGGTGGCCGGACTGCGACATGGTCACCTTGTCATTCTGGGTGCTACCAGTGGCAGTGTTGCTCCCAAGACCTTCTCAGCTGCCCAGCTGGCCGCTGGTCAAGTGGTCTACCAGCATGACGACAGAGATGGCTCACTGAGTGACAACCTGGTGCTTCGTATGGTGGATGGAGGAGGCAGGCACCAGGTACAGTTCCTGTTCCCCATCACCTTAGTGCCTGTCGATGACCAACCCCCAGTCCTCAATGCCAATACAGGCCTGACTCTGGCAGAAGGAGACACAGTGCCCATCCCACCCCTTGCTCTGAGTGCAACTGACATGGATTCTGATGACGCTTTCCTGCTTTTTGTGTTGGAGTCACCCTTCTCGAGCACCGGGCATCTGCTTCTCCGCCAAACTCAGCCTCCCATCAAGGAAGACGAGCTTACCAGGGGCCAGTGGAAGAAGCAGGGAGCATTTTATGAGCGAATCGTGACAGAGTGGCACCAACAGGACATAACAGAAGGGCGGCTGTTCTACAGGCACTCTGGGCCCCATAGCCCTGGACCAATCATGGACCAGTTCACATTTAGAGTGCAAGATAACAGTGACCCCCCTAATCAGTCTGGGCTGCAGAAGTTTATGATACGCATCCATCCCGTGGATCGCCTACCTCCAGAGCTGGGCAGTGGCTGCCCCCTGCGGATGGTAGTGCAGGAATCCCAGCTCACACCCCTGAGGAAGAAATGGTTGCGCTACACAGACCTCGACACAGACGACCGAGAACTCCGTTATACAGTTACCAGGCCGCCGATGGACACAGATGAGAACCACTCACCAGCCCCACTGGGCACCTTGGTCCTGACTGACAATCCCTCCATTGTGGTGATGCAATTTACTCAAGCTCAAATCAACCATCATAAAATTGCCTACAGACCTCCCAGTGAGGAACTGGGAGTGGCTGCCAGAGTGGCCCAGTTCCAGTTTCAGGTGGAAGACCAAGCTGGGAATGTGGCTCCGGGCACCTTCACCCTTTACCTACAGCCAGTGGACAATCAGCCTCCTGAAATCCTCAACACTGGCTTTACCATTCAGGGGAAGGGCCACCACGTTCTGAGTGAGACTGAGTTGCATGTCAGTGATGTGGACACTGATGCGTCTCACATCTCCTTCACTCTCACACAGGCACCCAGGCATGGCCAGGTGCAAGTGTCTGGACAGATCCTGCATGTTGGAGGAACCTTCCATCTACAGGACATAAAACAGGGTCGGATTTCCTACGCACATAATGGGGATGACTCCTTGATGGATAGCTGCTCCTTGGAAGTCAGCGACAGGCACCACGTGCTGCCCATCACTCTGAGAGTGAACATCCGGCCAGTGGATGAAGAGGTGCCCACGTTAAGCCTTCCTGCTGGCACTCTGGAGTCCTATCTTGATGTCCTAGAGAATGGGGCTACTGAAATCACTGCCAATGTTATTAAGGGGACCAATGAGGTCACTGATGATTTGATGTTGACTTTCCTTATAGAAGATCCACCCTTGTATGGAGAAATTCTCGTTAATGGAGCTCCGGCAGAGCAGTTTACACAACGAGATATTTTGGAAGGCTCTGTTGTCTATGCCCACACTAGTGGGGAGATAGGTCTATTGCCCAAAGCAGATTCGTTTAACTTGAGCCTATCAGATGTGTCTCAAGAATGGAGAATCAGTGGTAACAAGATCCAGGGAGTTACTGTGTGGGTAACCATCCTTCCAGTGGACAACCAGGCTCCACAAATTTCTGTAGGTGAACAATTTGTGGTGATGGAAGGTGATAAAAATGTTATTTCCTCAACACATGTAAGTGCTGAAGATCTTGACTCTTTAAATGATGACATTTTATGCACAATACTTATGCAGCCTACTTCAGGTTATGTTGAAAACATTTCTCCAGCTCCAGGCTCTGAGAAATCAAGAGCGGGGATTGCTATAAGTGCTTTTACTCTAAAAGACCTCAGGCAGGGTCACATTAACTATGTCCAGAGTGTCCACCAGGGTGTGGAGCCTGTGGAGGATCGATTTGTATTTCGATGCTCTGATGGCATTAATTTCTCAGAGAGACATTTTTTTCCCATCGTGATCATGCCTGCCAATGATGAGCAGCCAGAAATGTTTATGAGAGAATTCATGGTCATGGAAGGCATGAGTCTGGTCATTGACACGCCCATCCTCAACGCTGCCGATGCTGACGTGCCCCCTGATGAGTTAACTTTCACTATTACCCAATTTCCTACTCACGGTCACATCATGAACCAGCTGATAAATGGTACAGTTTTGGTGGAAAGCTTCACCTTGGATCAGATCATAGAGAGTTCCAGCATTATTTACGAGCATGATGACTCTGAGACACGGGAGGACAGTTTTGTGATTAAACTAACGGATGGCAAGTATTCCGTGGAAAAGATGGTGCTTGTCATGGTAATCCCTGTTGATGATGAGACTCCCAGAATGACCATCAATAATGGGCTAGAAATAGAAATCGGGGAAACAAAAATAATCAACAACAAGATATTAATGGCAACTGATTTGGATTCTGATGACAGATACTTGGTTTATGTTATTCGTTATGGCCCTGGACATGGGTTACTACAAAGACGGAGACTCACAGGGGCCCTTGAAAACATCACCCTGGGCATGAATTTTACCCAAGATGAAGTGGACAGAAACTTAATCCAGTATGTCCACACGGGGCGAGAGGGGATTCGGGACCTAATTAAGTTTGATGTAACGGATGGAATAAATGCCCTCATAGATCGCTATTTTTATGTGTCCATTGGGAGCATTGATATTGTTTTCCCTGATGTTATAAGTAAGGGAGTGTCCTTGAAAGAAGGTGGCAAAGTAACTCTCACGACGGACCTACTAAGCACTAGTGACTTGAACAGCCCTGACGAATATTTAGTTTTTACCATCACCAGGGCTCCCATAAGAGGTCACTTGGAGTGCACGGATCAACCAGGGGTGTCCATCACATCCTTCACTCAACTCCAACTGGCTGGCAACAAAATCTACTACATCCACACAGCCGATGATGAGGTGAAGATGGACAGTTTTGAGTTCCAGGTCACCGATGGACATAACCCCGTCTTCCGGACCTTCCGTATCTCCATCAGTGATGTGGACAACAAGAAGCCAGTGGTCACCATCCATCATCTGGTTGTCAGTGAGACTGAAAACAAGCTGATCACTCCCTTCGAACTCACAGTGGAAGACCGAGATACACCTGACAGACTCCTGAAATTCACTGTCACCCGGGTACCTGTTCATGGACATCTTCTTTTCAACAACACCAGACCAGTCACGGTTTTCACAAAGCAAGACTTGAATGAAAACTTGATCAGCTACAAACACGATGGCACTGAATCAAGTGAAGACAGCTTCTCCTTCACAGTAACAGATGGCACACATACAGATTTCTATGTTTTTCCTGATACAGTATTTGAAACAAGGAGGCCCCAAGTAATGAAGATCCAGGTCTTAGCTGTTGACAATAGTGTCCCCCAAATTGCAGTGAATAAGGGGGCCTCGACGCTTCGCACACTGGCCACAGGCCATTTGGGGTTCGTGATCACAAGCAAAATATTGAAAGCAGAGGACAAAGACAGCTTACACTTTTCTCTCAGGTTCATTGTGACAGAAGCCCCTCAACATGGTTATCTCCTCAACCTGGGCAGAGGCAACCATAGTATCACTCAGTTCACCCAAGGTATGTCTCATTTTTCTTATACCAGTGGGCGTTTTGTTTTGTTTTGTTTTGTTTTTCTAGAGAAGATGGCTTCCACTGAAAGCCATGTGTGGAGAGTATCAAATTAGAGAGCAAGGAAAGGGTAACAGGGAAGGAAGGGGAAAGCATGCTTACAGACTAAGACCCCTTGCAGAATGGACTCCTTTTCGCTCAATGTCCAACTGCAAGGCTTTCATTGGAGGGGATCAGTGTGTTTGGAGGGTGACGGGGTACACTGTCAAGGCAGGAGCCAGACTTTGGTAATTAAGACCAACCCTGCTATGAATGTCACATAGGTGAACCCTACTCTCAGCTGGGATTTCTGAGCATCTTTTGTTGTTACTGTTATGATTCTTAGGAACTTTGTAACTAAAGAGAAGATTTACTTATATTTACGTTGGGCTTTTTAAAAATTTTTTTCTGTGTGTTCTGTAGGGTTGACAAACACCTGCCTAAATACAGAAATAAGAGATGAATACTTATCTAGCATTATAACAATGATGTCAACAGGGCATGCTTTCCTAATATTAACTAAAAAGGAGAAAATTCTTCAGGAGGGATAAGAAAACAATATTGTAAACACTGAAATTGCAGCTCGAGTATGTTAAGAGCTTGAAGGTGTGTAAACAAGGTTAGTAGCAGAAGGAGTAAATTCTTTCATGATTTCCAACCTTTTTTCTGTCGTGTTGCAAGCCCGGTAACACACACCACTTGCCTCAAGCATCAAGCACCTGTGTTCTTGAGAGAACAGGGTTTTTCTACCCTGAATTCCCTTTGTGTGCTAACACAGTCTGAGACAGGAAGGGCAGGTGACCTGTGCAGAGTTATTCAGTGGTGGAAGGGAGAAGTCCATTCAGTGTATTGGCTCGGGAGTTTGAGCTGTGATTCTTGAACGTGCAACTTTCATCACAAAGGGATTTGGTTGCTTCCATGAAAATCTCACCACGTCAGAATGGAAACTAGATCTTTGCTATGTGGGCTCTGTGGGTAGGGATGGAGCTCCAGCCGGGGCATCCCTGTGGGGGTGTTCTCTTCCTGCGATGGTGGTGTATTCTTAGATAACAAATGCTTTCATAAACATGAATGCAGCAAAATGTAGTGTTAAAGAGAACCGCTTCTCTGTTTAGATGCTGGCAAATAGCCCCACACCCAGCCTCTTGATTCTTGGCTGCAAGCCTGAATACATCCCAAGGCCTGCAGGGACAGGAAAACCTGAGTGCCAAGTGTCATGCCAGGCCAGCAGGAAACTTTTGTGTGAAGGTTTCTGAGGATACAGATGCCATGCAATCTCAGACTGGCTTATTTTCGTGGAAACTAAAGAGGGGGAAAGGACTATATCAGGGATAGAAAAGCGTGCTTCAGACTGCTCCTCTGACCTGACACAGGAATCTAAGCTTGGAGATTCTAGAAGAATGTTTGGATAAGAAAAGACAATTTAATTTAAATTGTATGTCTTAAATCCAACTACTCAAAACATCAGAGTGTTGTATTTTTTAATTAACTCTTAAATTATGCTATTTGATTATATGTTATTTTTCAGAATGACTTTGAGTCACATTTTTTTTTATGATCTTGGCAAATGCATAGTAGCTATAAGTCCATTAAAGAAGATGACAACACCTTTTCAAATTTTCTTTTATGGTAATTGTCACATTCTAATATGAACCAAAATACTGAAAAACGGTTGCCATTTAATTGTACACAACTCACTTGAACAAGTTCAGACTAGAGTTTGGTTCAGAGAAGTTATTTACGGAGATTGGATAAGTGATTAACAGTGGAGAAAGCTTCATCAAGGAGCTGTTGTGGCTGATCTGGAAGGAAAAATGGAAGCAGTGTTTAGAATAAGGAACGTGCAGCATTTCTTGTTCTGTTTTTTTTTAATCTTGTTTTTTGCTGTATATACTAAGCTATTTTGGTGGATTCTCAATGCTCTGAATTAAATTGATAGAAAGTTCTTGCTAAATTGAATGACTAAATGATCCCTCTGAGAGAAAAAAAACCACTTCATTTTAAACATTATTAAATTTCATTGTAGTGAAAATACTGTAGACTTAGGAAAGCTATTTGGTTATTCTTAATTTCATCTCTGAGATGTCCAAACCCTGGGTCTATGTCACTTTTCTCAAGTGCTTGGATGATTTTTCTGTTCGGTGATACCTTTGGTGACATAATTTAGAAAATCACTTTCAGGGGAGCAAATATTCCCACCAAAGAATATGAACCAGGGAGGTAGTCACCAGGGAGGGGTGGGGAAGGAAGGGAAGGGGAGGGAAGGAGAGGGGAAGGGAGGGGAGGGGAGGGGAGGAGAGGGGAGAGGAGGGGAAGGGAAGGGAAAGGAAGAGAAGGGAAGGAAAGGGGAAGGGAGGGGAAAGGAGGGGAAGGGAAGGGGAGGGGAGGGGAGTGGAAGGGAAGGAGAGGGGAGGTGGGAAGGGGACAGGAGGGGAAGGGAGGAGAGGGGAGGGGAGTGGAAAGGGAGGGGAGGGGAGTTGGGAAGGGGAGAGGAAACGAGCCAGAGGGGAGAGGCAGAGTGTCTCTGCTCTGAGGATCAGTCCCCCAGGGCAGCAGAGGGTGTGATTTCAAAAGTGCCAGGAAACCTGCCATGCCTCAAAATATCTTCCTTTTCCACCTGTCATGGTGTCTAACATTCCTCATTTAGACAGTCATTTCTTTGGTGTATGAGCATGCAAATACCACTGGGAGGGGTAACACCTTGCTATTATTATAACCTAACTCTTGCACTATGTCTGTATGAAGGATCACATTTCCATGGGACAGCTGAAATCTAAGAGCTTAGATATCTAAGACATATGATACCACTATTCCTCTTAGGTGGAGGAAAGGATCTAAACATGTTAACAGAAAAGTCATAACCAGTAGGATTTCCCACAAAAAATGAGTCACCAATTTTGCTCTATCAACTGTGGGTTTTTTTTTTTTTTTTGTTATTTTCTAGCTGACATTGATGACATGAAAATATGCTATGTGTTAAGAGAAGGAGCTAACGCCTCAAGTGACATGTTCCAGTTTACAGTTGAAGATGGTGGTAAGTATTCTACTCTCCTGGTAGTGATGACCAGAAGAGGGACATTTCTTGGCTATTCTTTGACAAGCATACGACAAGAAATCCTTCCCAAATCTCATTTCATGTTCACTTGTGCAAACACTCAGTAGTTGGCCCAGAGGCTGGTACAGAAAAGGTATCCAAAAAGAATGGTTGAATATATTTGTCAATTGCGTCTTCCAAGCTCTGCAGCAGCTACAGCTGTGGTCATTTATGGATTAGCTTTCTAGCACATCACATCTGGGGCTTCATATGGAGTGAATTTAGTATTTGCTATAGAAGATTCTACAGTCTCAGATTGGCATAGTCACACTTTGTAATGACTGTAGAAAATGATCTAGTTACATTAATTGAGTTTTATGCTTTGCAAAGTGAGAAAGAGTGGGGGGGTGGGGTGGAGAATCTGTTTAAATAGGATCTCTATGTTCAGATTACAACCTGTTTGAGGTTGTCTACTTGTTATTGGAAGCCAGCCAAGCTCCAGTCACAACCATGTACCCAAAGTGGTTGTGTCTTTCGAAAGGCTGATTTTTAAATTATTTTTCTAATTTGTACACATGTGTCATGTGGAATAATGCTGCTGGAAAATGACTTACATTCACTAGGAAATTAAGATTGAATAAGTATCTGTTTTATCTCATCGTTCTCATGTTATCTGATGATTTTGTTGTTTGAGTTTTTAGTGACCTAGTCTAAAATCATTTCATGACAAGACCTGAAGGCCAAAGCAGACAATGCTATATAAGATGCTGTGAGTTTCCTCGGCAATATTATTGTCCTTGCTCCCACAAACTACTACATTCTTTTAAAATTCCCTGGCCACTCTTTATGTAACACTGCAGTCTAGAAGAAAACCTGATCTCTAATAGATTAATAATAAAGCTGTTTCCATTTGGGGGACTTCATTCGACACAAAAGAATCTCACCATGTATGTATGTTGTGTGAACATGACACAAGAAGTGAAGACATATTCAACAAAGAGGGAGAAGAGAAATTAGACGGTTAACTGTTTATTTCTGAAGATTTTAAAAATGGCACAATAGTATGTGATCCATCTGAAAAAGATCACATTCTTTCCCTATGTGGGTTTTGTTGTTGTTGTTGTTGTTGTTGTTGATATTTCAGCACCAAACAGCTTTGTTCAAAATTTCACTGGGCACACACCATGTTTAGAGTTCTAAGAAATGTCCACTGAACTGGGTGCATTCCAGAAAAGCAAAAATGTGTGTAAACCGATTCAACTAGTTGATTTCTTTTATACATCAGAAGTTTAACTAAGCTAATTTGTTTATTTTAGAGGAACCAAATTATAGCTTAGTATTCTACATATTGAAAAAACTAGCACAAAGCAAAGTTTTAATTAGTGAAACCAACACATATAAAAGATATAAAAGTTATACTTGCTAAATCTTGCTGCTGAAACAGGAAATTCTACTATAAGTATACTTAAGCATGAGACCTTGAATTCATCCAAATATTGTTTCAAGACATTGTATTTATTTCTCTGAAGGACCAAATAAGGCCAAATGCCAAAAAAAAATTGTCTTTAAATTTATTTTTTTACAGTTTAAAATGCGATAGCTACAATTATTCTAAGATGGTATAGTCTCTGCTTTTATTTTACATTTGCTTTTTCATACATACACATACACACACACACCTGTGGTTGTGCCACACATTCTTAGCTGGGTGGAATGACAGAATCTACTTTAACAATCTGATCTATATTTGAACTTTGGAAAGCATTAGGCATAATAGTACTTCAGAATATTAAGTAAAGAATGACTAAAGAGGTTTATTTTGGGGTTTGCTGAAAGTGTGCTGAGGCCTCTAAACACCGTCTTTGTTTTCCTGGAAATAAGAATGAAGTCATTTCAGAAGACTTCAGGGCTAGAGTTTCAGAAGAGAAAGAAATTCCAGAGATAATCTTTACCCTCTCCACGAGCACAGCTTCACTCAAGGGGGGCAGGTCTTGGCACACTGTTCCACAGAATTTCCCTTAATTCCTTCAATAGAAGAAAACTTCATTTGACAGAATAAACACAGAAAATCACAAGATTAGAGAAAGAGAAGTCACATGTATATCTCAAAATTGTCTTGAGCTGATTCCTAGGTCTTTTGAAAACATGTTTGCATCGCCGTATCAGTATTTAACCTTTAACTAAGCAGGACAGTAATACAGAAACTGATGTGATCTATTATCATCTGCTCCACAGAGTGACAGGAAGCCATCCATAAAAACTTCCCCATTAAATATACTGAAGGCCTCCAATGCTTATAACTCCATCCTCCAAATTCTCTTTCTAATGCACTAAATTCACTTTCTTCAAATCAAGAAGATTGGCTTTAGGACCATACAAAGAAAATCATTAAGGGAAATGTAATCCTTGAAAAACCTTAAAAATAAAATTGGAACTTGATTTCAGAGACCATGATTTGGAAGAGAAATTGAGAACAAAAGCCTAAGGCCTTTGGTTTCCAGTTAGTTATACGATCAAAAGAACCTGGTAGGGGTGATGGCTTGGCACACCAGTTGTCATGCTGCTTGAAACACTAACATCCCATGTTGGAGGGCCTGTGTCTGAGCCATGTCTGTGCTCCACCTCTGGCTTACTGCTAATACACTGCTGAGCAGTAATGTGTGTCCCTGCCATGACATGGGAAACCCAGATCAAGTTCCAGGTTTTTGGTTTCAACGTGATTCAGCCCTATTTTTTGTGGGCATTTGGGGGCATGGAAGTAATTTGAAGGTTATCCATTTGTCTCTATATCTAATGCTCCATCTCTTTGCCTTTCAAATAGATAAAACCAATGACTCTTAAAAGATTAAAAAAAAAAAACTGGCTAGCTGCAGGATTCTTCTGATGTATTAATGAAACTGAAACTAGCCACTGTCATCAAATACCTGCCAGGTGTTCTTAGCAGGATTGGAATCAGAGGAGCTGGTACTCAACCAGCATGCAGAGCACCGTCCCAAAAGGTTTCATAACAATGCTTGCTCCTCGATTAGACTTTACAACCTCCATATGACTTCCACAATTTTATTTTCTTAGCATCTCAATGAGTTTGTTAAAGCAACTATAACACAAGCCATTTCGTAGTATTTCTATTTGCCATATGAGGAAACTCAGTCAAAGGAGTAATTTTCTAAAATATTTTTAAGTTTTTTTTTTTTTATTGGAAAATCAGATATGTAGAGGAGGACAGACAGAGAGGAAGATCTTTCATCCTTTGATTCACTCCCCAGGTGGCCGTAATAGCCAAAGCTGAGCTGATCCAAAGCCAGGAGCTCAGAGCCTCTTCCAGGTCTCCCACACGGGTGCAGGGTCCCAAGGCTTTGGACCATTCCCAATTGCTTTCCCAGGCCACAAGCAGGGGGCTGGATGGGAAGCAGGGCCACTGGGAGGCTACAGCTCTGGGCCCATCATTTTTAAATTTTCTGCTACATTTCCATAAACTTAGAGATTTCCTTTCTTCTGCCCCCCATTCTTGCTTCCCCACCAATGATTCCCACTATATTATTTAACAGTGTAGTCCTTTAACAACAGCCACAAGTCCACCATTCTGCTATTTAACAGTATCCTGGTATTGTATGTTCAGCGAAATACGCCAATCCCAAAAGGACAAATACATATGCTCTCTTTGACATAAAGCAGTTCTTACAATGACCAGCCTATCAAGGAATAGGTTTGGCTTAATGGTCAGAAAAATATTCGTGTTCACAGTGGCTTCTTCTTATCAGGCTCCTTCAAAAAATTAATGGGAAAATAAACTTGACACCCAAGTTTGTTTTGGTGCAAAAACTGTGGAACCCAAGTATTGTATTTTTATAACAAACATTGTCCATGATCTTTTAAAATTTTCCCAGTGGTGTGGCAGTCATCCAGGCTTTAGCTAAACTCCCTTCCTTTTATTCTTGCTTTCAATTTTTGTAACAGGTAACTCACAACGTAATAGTCCTACAGACTTTGGAGTTATAGCTTGCTTTGATGATGACTTGATTGAATCCTTATTGCACATCTATTACTCTGTCATTTTGTGGGCGAAGAAAGCATGTGTTCTTTTAGCCCTTGCATAGATGAACATATTCTTATCTGATCCCTGCTCGGTGTTCTCCTCTCCATAATTTTTCTGTATCTTTCAGTCCCCTTTTTGTCCCTTCATTCTTTACTGTGAAATGAAAGCTGATCTCATATAATTATTCCCCATATGTTTCATCTTCAGCCCTCTGGCTGCTACTCACTCTTGAACACCTCCTCTCCAGAGTCTTCTTATACCATGATGACAGCTAGCCATGCCCTTCTCTGCCTTTTACCCTTACCTTCATCTACAGCAAGAAGACCTTTGTCTCATTATTAACTAATAGGAAGACTCTTGTGAGTAGAGAGGGCAGCATTTCCATTGTAACAGACATCACTCTCTTGATACCTACCTGCCATCTCAGGGTTCAGCATGTGATCAATACTTAGCAGTTAGTAATTGAATGAAAGGGAACAGGCAATTAGCCTAGCAGTGAAGACACCCATGTCTCGTTTCAGAGCATTTCAGCTTCAGCTGTTAGCCCTGGCTCCTGGTCTCAGCTTTTTTCTATTGCAGATTCTGGGAGGCCATTATGATTCAAGTAATTGGGTTCTTGCCACTTACCTAGGAGACATCTATTGCATTCCTGGCTCTCTACTTTGGCCTGGCCCAGAACTGGCTGTCATAGGCATTTGGGGAGAGAATCAGAAGATGGGGCTTCTGTGTCTGTCTCTCTACCTTTCATAAAAAGAAAAAAAAAAAGTTAAATGGGTGAAAAGATGCTCCATTTTCGTATAAAGATCAATTAAGCAGCATTCTAGAGAGAGCTCGTATAATTTACAGTATACCTTTTGTATACTTTTAGAGTGTGTGATTATTTAGCCTTAATTTAAACCCTTGTGGCACTGAACAAGATTTTTAGTAAATCTAAAGACATGAACCAATGGCTATGAATTCTTTT